AAGCTTACCAAGTGTGACTTTGTCACTATAGTAATGAAAAACATCAAACTCAAGTATGTGTACATGAAGAAGTCAGACCTTTTACAAGCTCAGAAAGTTAAAGAAAGAAGGTCCTTTGTGAACACCAAGATGATATGGATCCCCAAAAAGCTTAACTGAGTGAGTATGTTTGTTTACACAGCTTTTAAATCTTGTAACACCAATGACAGATGGTATGTTGATAGTAGATGCTTAAAACACATGACAGGTGATAGTTCTAAGTTCCTTTCTTTAAAAAAAAAATTGTTGTTGGTAATGTGGTGTTTGGAGACAATCAAAAGGCTAAAATTGTTGGTATTAGAATTGTGTGCAAATTTGAAGACCTACCAGAGATCACTGAAGTGTTATATGTTGAAAGACTTAAACACAATTTGTTAACTGTTAGTCAATTGTGTGATACAGGCAAGAAGGTGTGCTTTGACAAAGACAAGTGCAATGTGGTTGATTTTACCTCATATAAAGTCCTTTTCTCTGCAAATAGGTCCTCTGGAAATGTTTACACAATCATTGAAGAGGCTCAACCAACACAATGTAATTTATCAACTGTGGATGAAGCAATTATGTGGCACAAAAGCCTGGGACATGTTCACTCAAGAAATATTTCAAAGATATTTAGGCTCAAGGCAGTAAAGGGCCTACCTTAGTTGAAATTCAAAGAAGATCATACATGTAGAGCATGCCAACAAAGGAAGTAAACAAAGGTTTCATTCCTTTCCAAAGAAGTTAACACCTTAAGGGCACTTGACCTAATTCTTATACAAATGGATAGACTTTTTCTTATTGTATATGAGTTCTTGAAAGTAAATGAGCAATAACCAATTTATTGTTCTATGAAGACCAAGAGGGTGGTAGTGCTCCTTTATTTTTATTTGTATTGAGCGTTAAGACATTATTAGGGTCTTTAGTACGCAGTATTGGTCAAATAAACCATTTTACCCTTGGGTGGTTCAGGGTCGAGTCATGACCCGGTTAAAGTTTCGGGTCCCGGGTTTGGGTCGTTATAGTGAGCTCAACTGTAACTATATTTAACTATGATAAATGGGGAAAATGGTATTTGTATAATATGACTGAAGAAGCAGTTAAAGAATAGTAATGAGATGAGCTCAAGATTTTCTGAAATGTAATAATTTATAGTGACCACAGTTTAAACCCATCCACTTTCTTTGAACTTGAAATTCAATCACAAAACCGGAAGGGACAAAATTCCCAAATAAAAATAACATAACCTACATTTCTTAAGCAAACAATATAATGTTGTCATGTTAGGAATTGTGGCTCATAATTCTTATTAATATTAGTTTCTATTTAGAGTTATTTTGTTATGGTAATTTCTTGTAAAGACATGTCTTTGGCTCTAAGAAATTGCATTCCTTACCAAAGGGCCTTTGACCTAATGGTATAACCTCCTCATCTTCAAAGAAGAGGGGAGGGGTTCAAGCCCGGGCGTGGGTAAAAAAGTGTGTGTGTGTTTGCTTTACCATCCAAAAAAAAAAAAATTTGCATTCCTTATCCACTAAGGAATTGGATATGAGACTGCATAAATAGATACCTGGTTAGGGTATTGTTGAGAGGTATGAGTGGAGAGACATGTAGCATGTAAAGGCAACCTCACGAGGGTGTGACAAAAGTGAGTGAAGCTTTTGTGAGAAACAATTGAGGGACAATTGTGTGAGAATTGTGAGTGTCTCAATTGTGAGATAATGCGTAGAAAGTATTAGGTTTGGTAGAGTAAACACTAAAGACGAGAAGGTGTCTCATAACGAGAGGGCGTCACGCAGTACACATTGTAAGGCTCGGGTATTCAGACCTCTACCCAGGAAACTAGTTAGACAAGGAAACTCTATGTGGGTGTGCGTATATAAGATGTTCCGGTGTTGGTAATTCTCTACAAATTGGGTGAACCAAATAGTGGAATCTCCTCATCCATGTACGTAACCCTCAGTTTGGGTAAACCATGTATATCTTGTGTTATGCAATATTTTGTAAATGCTTTCTTATTTTGGTTGGATCTTTATGTGTTCTTGTTGTTCGCGGACTGCACTTTGTATAGTGAAACCAATTGCACTTGGGCTGAAAGGTTACAATGGATTAATGGAAGTGCAATGGGTTGCACTTATCTAGAACCGATTGGACTTATCTGTTCGTGTATTTTTTAGTAATTGTTCTTCCGTTTGGCCCCTAACAAGTGGTATAAGAGCAATTGACCCCAACAAGTAGTATAAGTGCAATTAGGCCCTAACAAGTAGGGGTGCACATGGTTCGGTTCCGACTGGAACCAGAACCGGAACCGGAGCATTCCTTAAAATAGGAACCGGAATTATGTAGCCATGGAACCAAACCGTGAATACCGGTTCTACCGGTTCGGTTCCACGGTTCTCACTGACTGTTTGGTTGTTTGCTCTTTTTTCCTGTTGTTCCCTTGACAGTAGTGTTCCATTACTTATTTGAAGGCTTTGAGCCTTTGAGCCCATAACAAAACAATTAACAGAATACAAATTGTGTAAGCTGCGATACAGATTACAGAAGAGAAGATGAGAGGATGAGGAGTGAGGATGAATGACTGATGAGTAGATCTGAAGATGAGAGGATGACTCTGAATCAACAGATGAGAAAATCTGAAGATGAGAGGAGGCGAGGCGCCGAGGGCGATGAGGATTCGAGGAAGCTTGAGATTCGGCGAGGGCGATGACTGATGAGGAAGCTTGAGATGAGGGGAGGTGAGGGTTAGCTTGAGATGAGACTTTAGGTTTAGATGAGTTTTTCACTTTTTCTTTTGTGGTTTAACGTGGACCACGTGGCTACTTGTAGGCTGTATGAGTGACCGAGTGTAGTTTAAACTTTAGACTATTTAGTTACTTTTGTCTTCAGAATAAATAATAATATATATAATTAAATATATAATCATATATATATATATATATATATATATATATATATATATATATACACGGTTCCCGTTCTTACGGGTACCCACGGGTCAGGAACCGGAACCAAGAACCATAGACCCACCGTTTCTAATTTTAGAACCGGGATCGGAACCGAAGCCCATAGTTCGATTCGGTTCGGTTCGGTTCTCACGGTTCAACGATTCCACGATTCCACTATATATTTTTGTGCACCCTTACTAACAAGTAGTACCGGAGCACTTGTTTCATGACAGTCATGGATGGAGCCTAATTAATCTTTGCATACAAACAAAGCTGGTTCCACTACACTATTATAGTTCGTTGGACTCCAAAGAGTTGTTATTCAAATTACTTGCACATTTCACCACTCCCTCGACATAATAGCCCTCGTTCCATTTTATGATTTTTATCTCACCACTTGAAACTTAAAAAAAATAATAATTATAAACACTAGCAAGTAAAAAAATATTTACATGAATAGAAAAAACTGTCAAAGAGAAGTAGCAGAAGTTCTCTCTTTTTAGTATCAAATTTTTATAAAGTATCTAGGTATTACATTATATTTTTTTAAAAAAAGATCCACATATAAATTGGAAAGTGTATAAATTAAATAAAAAAATTTATAATGTGAAAAAAAAAAAAGTCACTTGAAAAAAAAATGTTAAGAATTGATGAATTATTTTATAAATTTTTAAAACAAGAGAAACTTGACATATACCACTAAAATCTAGAAAGATAACAAATTACATGTCAAAAAAATGTCTAAAAATAAGGAATTCTAGAATAATTTAGTATAACTAACGAGGTAGGAGTGAGCTATAAATACCCATGATGCCAAGCTAAACCTTCCAATATACAAAGCCAATACATGATTACCTTACTCAAAAAGAGAAAAACAATCATTCAACACAAGTTATACTGAAAATAAATTTATTTTCACATTCGTTCATAACTGCATTCCAATCACCAATTTGCATAGGTTTTTAAATATCTTGCTTTCCCATTTCCAATTGTGACAAAAATTTCTCTTAAATAAAAATAAATTTATAATACCTACCCTGGATAATATTTATAAAATCAAAAGAGGAGGTACCTCAATGAGGTGGGGTACACTATGATAAATATACTTTGTCGATCTAATCTCCTCGTAGGGTAAGGCATTTTTGTATTTGTTTGAATGAGACAATTTTCTATTGAAAATGAATTCCACTTTCTAATATTTTTCAATCTCATTTTTAAGAAAAAGAATTTCAAAGATACGACTAATATTTTTCAATCTCATTTCTAAGAAAAAGAATTTCAAAGATACGAGGAGAATAAAGGATCGTAGTATGTTCTTGGAATCTATTTATATATATTATGGAGCTCTTTGTCACCTTTTGATGACTAGAACATTGAATCAATTTTATTTGATTGTCACGTTTACAACTATTACTTGTACATGTACATTTGTCCATCAGTATATGTACACTGTAGTAATGGTGCGCTTTCAAAGTTGATTGTAGCTAATCCAAATCCCACCCTCAGTTCAGTTCAAAGAACTGAAGGAATTCTCAACCAGACAATTACAAAATTCACTTACCAAAATAAATAAATAATAAATTATTGATTCATTCCAGTGAGCTTAACTGTTAACCAGATCCAAGACACTAATGCTGCAATTAAAGAACAACCAGAGAGTAGTTCGACTGTGAAAATCAAACAATTTTTTTACGACTAGACCTCCACGAGAACCGTTTCCAAGCCACCAGCCACCAATCCTACACAACCGAAGGCCTCTCGTGTTGGTCTTTTCACTGCTCCGGTGTGGAAGTAATTTCAGGCCGGTAGAAGGATTAATTCTGCTTCGGTGTGGAAGTAATTTCAGGCCGGTAGAAGAATGTTCATAAATTTAAACATTATTAGCTGAAATTACTAACAATGTTTATTAAATGACAGATTGAACCGGTCCGTCAAGATCAGGGACACGGATGAAGAACTATACACAAGTTCTATCAGAATAGAGGAATGAAATGACCAAGAATCATAAGATAACATTTAATTCATGACCAAGAGTTCAAAGTAAGTTTCTACGGGTAACATTTAATTCTATAAAGGTATGGCCAATTCTATGAGGTTCCTTGTGCTAGACCAAACATTCCAAATTTTGGGATATAAATCTTGTAAAATCTCCCCCAAATATATACATATAATAAATAAGAAACTACATTTATAGCCATGATGTTTAACTATATGGATAGAAGGATGGACAAAAAACTAGATCACCACCACCAAGTAGACATTGAGTTTGATGATAAGAGATGATAGCAGTGCTCACAGATTCTCAACACGAAATTACGAGTAACTTGAATTACAAAAGATAACATTAGATCTTTGACTTGCTCTGTGGTGCCTTCCTGATGAAATAAAACTGAAGATCGTTGGGTCACTCGATGGTGTAGATCTTGCAAAGCTCGGGTGCATTTGTTCAGAATTTAGAAATTTGACATCGGATGAATGTTTGTGGAAGCACAAGTTTCTCCTGGAGTTCAGTGAGAAGGTGAGGGAGCATGCTGAAGGAGAGAGCCTCTAGAAGCACAAGTTTGCTGAGGCTGGAGAGTGAAGAAGTTCCATTCCATGAGATTAGTAGTTCCAACAGAGGCAAGGCAGATATTAGGTTGAGCTCGAACTCATCAAAGTACTTTACATCATTGTTCGCGATAACCCATCCATAAGTAAAAGCATATTTTCTAGAAGATTGAAACTTCAAAAAAGCAACCTTGTTGCCTTCTTTTGCATCATAATAATCGCTACTTCTCACCTCAAATGCAAAACAATAATTGGAACTGATTAAATCATGGATGGTAGTGTCCAATGTGACTTGAAAACCATCTCTGGCAAAAATAAACTTAGGCACAATGCCATCAATGGCAACCACCAGGAGCTTTTGATCACCCATGAAGCCTCTATGAAAACAAGAGAGAAAAAATTAGATTAAACTCCAAATCCGAAGCCCAACAGAAAAATTTAATCATCATTGGCGAAAATACCTATATCAAACATCAATCTTCTCTACCATGTAGACCAGAGAGAAACACTCAGAGAGAAAATGTACAGTTTTTAACAGTAAATTATGATGGAGAGAATAATTTGGAAATGAAATTACTTATACTCTTAGGAAGGAAATAAGGCAGAAATTAGTTAACTTGGACATTCAAACTAATGGAAAAAATTTCCCTGAGTGTCTTTGTTTCCTCTTACATTAATGAAGTCTACTTGGTGGTGCTTATTTTGCTTTAGGACTTTTAAGGGGAAAATATGAAAGAAAAGAGGGGGTTATAAGGAGGAAAGCAATAAGAAGAGCGAGGAAGAGAGAGATCATTTTTGTTGATTTCCTCCTTATGTAGGTCTTCTACACACACGCTGTTTTATCAGTAGAAAAATGTTTCTTCAAACTCGTAAAATTTTTCTTTCCATTTCTATATTTCTTTTATATCTTCTTGTTTACTTTAAAATATGCAAAGTGAAAACAAAATGAAATTTGTTACTTTCTTAAGTTTCTTTTTCCTTTATCCTTGGGCTTAGGAGTTCAAACAGAGATTTGCAGTCACCGAATCAGTTGCTAGCTCAGAACTAGAATGACTCGTTCTTGGTGTATTAGTATAGAATTGAGCATATGGAATGTTATGCTTCATATTTAAAGCATTATGAAATACTAGAAGCAACAGACAAGAATAAAATAAACTAATACAACATATGGAAAAAATGTAAAATTGTTTAGGCATTAATGAATTAGTTTGCAACAGTATTACACAATCTTACACGATACATTATCATCGTAATTCAAATTTTAAGTATACCTAAACATGAAGTAGATTGTCTCATCCTTTCACTATAAGCACAAAAATACTGAGTACGACACAATAAAGATACAACACTACGACATTGCAAATATGCAGCAGTCAGGCAGCAAATTTATATAATTGGAAAAACAGAACTATAGCTCAAACAATTTTTAGACTAGCAGGTTGTAGCAAAAATCATATGCAGTAGTTGGCACAGTTGGATGCAGCTTTACATAATCCGTGAATAGGAAAGGCGAAAAACACAAGCTAGTATATTATCACAGATAGGGAATGAATTGTTTTGTAGCTGAAGAATTGATTACCGAAAAACTGATGAGACAGCTGAGAGCCTAAACAGAATGTTTAGTCCCGTTATTAAAAGGAGTAAAAATAATTGAAAAATAATAATATACAAAATACATCAGTAATTTAATTTATTTAAATTGAAAAATTAATTACCGAAAAAATGACGAGACAGCTGAGAGCCTAAACAGAATGTTTTGTTCTGTTATTAAAAGGAGTAAAAAATAATAATTAACAAAATACATCAGTAGGAAGAATAATTTAATTCAATTAAATTGAAAAATTAATTAAAAATACACACAAACAAAACACCAGTCCATATATAGAAAGCAATAAGGTTACTTCATATGTTAATGTCTATTTGCATTACAAAAGGGAGAGAGGCGGACAGATTCAGAAAACAAAAATAAGGAGAGAGAGAGAGAGAGCTATCAGCGGAGATGAAGACGAAGAGGACACACACAATTTCTGAGGATGATGAGGAGCAGTGGAGAGAATACCTGTAATTTTGTCAGAAAGCGATTTCCTATGCACTTCAATCGGTTAGGGCCTTGGGCTTTTGGCCACTTACACCAGAACCAAATTGGATTTGGGTTTGGATATAGATTTAATAATGAATGCCCCTGCCACCAAATCTAGTATATTAGCACAGATAGAGATCGAAAGAAATAAAGTACAATATTTGGTGTTGGTGGCATGCATTATTAAAGGCTCAAGGCGCACTAAGGCGCCAAAGGTCTTATGGAGCCTAAGTGTAAGGCGCCATATAAGGCATGAGCCTGATCAAATCATCAATGTAAGGCACGTGTGATCATAATGCATATTAATAAGGAATATTTTCAACATATCAATTCAAAAAATTAGCTAAATCACCACACATCTATCTTTTCTATTTGCACGTAAATTCAATAAAATCAACATACAATAAGAACAATTCTAGATATGCACACAAATAATAAAAATTCTTTAGAAATAGAATTTTTGATATATCAACCAAGAGGATTAGGTAAATTAATAATCATAAATCATTTCATATGCATATGCAGGCATTAACCAACTTAAATGTAATTACAAATTTGAAACAACTAAAAACTATAATGATGCAAAACTTTAAACATATATTATCATAAACATTTATAATCAATCACTAAATGCAATTAATGTTAAGTAGTGAACCATAAAAGTATGGATTTTGTTGAATATTTCATCATGTTAAAAAATATGATCCATTAAATATGATCATTATATGATATAGAACTCTTTTTTTTTTTTTTTTTGATAAGTGATATAGAACTTTCTAATCTAGCAGTCATTTGATGAAAAAGAAAAAAATGAAATGCACAAATCATTAAAAAATTTAAGGCATGCTGCTTTTTTATTTTTTGCCTGGAACTTAGGCATTATAGCTAAGCCTTAATGACCTTGGGCTTTTTGGGAGCCTAGGCATGCCATTAACAACTATGCATGCCCCTTCCCCAGACACTTCGAATTGCTATAGATAGACATGCCTTTATTGCCAATTGTTACAATGGGAGGACGACTTGGGACGCTTTTCGATGCATTTCCAAAACTCGGAGTTGAACGATGCCATTGGTTTTTTGGAGTAGTTGTATCGCCAAGAGAGGGATGGTGGTGAGCCTGATACCCGTGTGTGGTGCCCTATACTCAGGAGGTTTGATGTGCGCTCTTTTTATAAGAGCCTTCTGATGGTCCAAGGCTTGTCAAAGGCTGTTTGGTGAACAAAGGCCCCTCTTAAAGTGGGTGAGGATTCTAACTATGGACAACTTGAGGAGGAGGCAGGTTAGTACCAATTGGTATTGTATTTACAAGAGAGATCTAGAGTCAGTAAATTAACTCCTGTTGCATTGCCCTGTGGCACAGGACAGCTGGGATTTTCCCTTAGGATTGTTTGGGGTCCAGTGGGTCATGCCTTGGTTCTCGAGAGACATGATAGATGCTTGGAGAGGTGGTATGATGGGTTTCCAAGCTTGTGACTTTTGGAGGGTGGCACCCTTATGTGTTTGGTGGTGCTTGTGGAAGGAATGGTATAACAGATCATTTGATGGTGTGGAGAATCCTATTGGGTGCTTCTATTATCACTTCTCTTTTTTGTTAGGTCTTTGGGAGAGATTGTAAATCAATGGGGGAGATAGTTGATTTTTTTGGATATGATGAGTTTAGGGGCCCTATTTGGTCCTTGTGAAACTTTTGTGGGATCCATTCCCCATTTGTATGTTTTCTAATATAATCTTACTTATCAAAATACACACACACACTGGATGTGGTATACGGTTGTGGTAATTGAGCTAGATACCGAACTTCAATGGTGTAAATCTATTTAAAAGAAGACCAATTCTTTTACGTTTAGATTTCATTCTGAATCAGCATCATTTCACTATGGCAATGTGTCAGAACTCTTATACATATAGGTTACCATTTGAATGGCAAAAGTGTGTTTTCACTATGGTGGTGTTGGCTTCTTAAAACACCTCACAATCTACCACCGTGCACTTCTCCTGTCACAATGGATATTCAAACTCCTAACCTCCCAGATGTGAGGTGAATCTTGCCATTTCCTTGAGATTAGGTAAGCAATGTGAATCGTGAATCTTTGATGCACTACTGTCAAATTTCGCATCAAATTCTAAATGTATAGGAACCAAAATTGAAAAACCCATATGCATATTTATGGTTAGCTTTGCGCCTAATTAGTAACTTTACATTACTACCAAAGATGCAAAAAAAAATTTCTTAATTTGTTTCGTATAGTTTTCTCACTATTTGATATGGAAAAAATGGGCAGTATATCATTATAGACGAATACATTACAACATCAATTAGCATTTTTATTTCAATCACCTTTGGAAGATTACTCATTTTTCTAGCGTGTATAATTTAGTTAGCCAGTCATGCACGAGATAGGCTAAATCACACTAACTTGGAAGGATGATATAAATTGCGACGGTGATAGTCTAGCGGTACTTTTTCACAAGGGTCAAACTTTCATCAATCCACATCACCTGGCAGGAGGATAGGACAGTCTTTAAGAATATATATACCCAACGACTATGTTTGGCTACATTAAATTGACTAGCCAAAACATAACACTGGTGTTTCTCCAAACCACCATGGATACGTCTTATATAACTTAGAAGGCTATCTTCTCAAACCATAAACCATTAACAATGTCTCCTTAGATCATAAGCGACCAACCAAGTCGCCTCAGACTATAAGCAACCATTATTGTCTCCTCAGACCATTTCCCTTCATACACATGTTTAAAATATGTAGATGGAAGAATCAACAATGTGTCCTGAGGAATAAATAATCAACAATGTCTCCTCCCACCATTACTCTTCATACACATGTCTAAGAATATGTAGATGGAAGAATCACCAATGTCTCTTTAGACCACAAACCATCAACAATGTCTCTGATGAAGAATCAACAATGTGTCCTGAGGCAATAAATAATTAGCAATGTCTCCTCCCACCATTACCCTTCATACACGTGTTTAAGAATATGTAATGAAAGAATCACCAATGTCTCCTTAGACAACAAACCATCAACAATGTCTCCTCAGACCATTCTTGGATGGGTGGTGCCGAACTTGCAACGCCGCCGTTGCTGTCGGACCACCCGCCTCTAATACTGAGAAGAAATACGAGATAAAAGAAAGAGAGGTGTAAGGACTTGAATGAGATTTGTTAAACACTCATTCGCAACTCTGGTATTTATAAACTAATAAAAAGAGCACATGTTAATGTTACAAGGAAACTGAATAAAATCATTACATATTCTATGCCTAGACATATGCGTAAATAAAGTCAAATCCCATAATTCTAGCCTATCATGTCTTCGCTAATATGGTAAGTTACATCCATGAATCTAGCCTATCATATCTCGGCTAACAAATTTTCATATAAACACACTTGTAAAGATTCGTGCCTAGTATGCAAAGAAACAATGTTTACACATGGTGCACAATTCGTGCCTAGTATGCAAAGAAACAATGTTTACACATGGTGTACAAAGAATGATGTAAGGTGGGATGAAGGGAAGGACCTGATTTAGATCTTCAAAAAAAAATCATTATTTAAAAGAAAAACTCCACCTAGGAACAAATTTTTTAAAATTTTTTTTTTTTTTTTTAAAAAAAGGAACACTTAATCTAGGAACAATTGTACATTTTGCAATGCAGTAAAATTACAAATGATGAAATGGACACAGAATAATTGCAGAGTACCTGTGGTCCAAATGCAAGGGTTGACCAAATGCTAGTGTGTAGTATAATAATTGAAATTTTGGATCCCATAAATAAATATGCAACAATTATAACAATCCATCTAGTTGTACAAATGCATTAAATGATAACATACAGAATTAATGCAACCACAAACTGACCATAACCGACTTGAATTAAAAATAAGTAACAATTATATCAAGTCATAATGAGTAATCCAACTTAAATTAAGCCATACAACTGCAAGCAAAATCTTCAAGATAACCATAGAATAAATAAGAAACTGCATATATAGACATCATGTTTAACTATTTAGATAGAAAGATGGATGGATAAAAATAAATCACCACCACCAAGTAGACATTGTGTTTGACTATATAGATGGTAGAAGTGCTCACAGATTCTTCAACACGAAATTTTGGTAGTGCTCCGAATTCAAAGGATTGTATCATGCCTCTTTTGAAACTACTTATCTCATCCAATGGAACTTCTCTCTCCAAGCCTCCTCAAACTTATGCTTCCAGAGGGTCTCTCCTTCAGCACGTCCCTCACCTTATCATCGAACTCCAGGAGAACTTGTGCTTTCACAAACATTCATCTGATGTCAAACTTCTAAATTCCAAACAAATGCACCCGACCTTTGCAAGATCTACACATCAAATAACTCAACGATCTTCAGTTTTATTTCATCAGGAAGTCACAATAAATAGCAAGTCAAAGATCAACTGCTATCTTCTCTAGCAGTAGATCTCTGGTTGAGCTAGAAGTCATCAAAGCACACACGATACTTTCTGGCAAAACTGAACTTTGGCACAAAGCCATCAATGGCAACCAGTAGGAGCTTTTGATCACCCATGAAGCCTCCTATGAAAACAAGAGAGATAAAAATAGATTAAACTCCAAATTCAAAGCCCTACAAAAAGATTTAATCATCATTGGCAAAAACAACTATATCAAACATCAATCTTCTCCACTATATAATGTAGACCAGAGACACACACAAAGATAGCCAAGAAGAAGAGAAAGGAAGAGAACGATCATTTTTGTTGATTTCCTCTTCATATAGGTTTTCTACACTCTCTCACTGTTTTATTTGTAGAAAAATGTTTCTTCTAACTTCTGAAGTGTTTCTTTGCATTTTAATTTTTTTATATTTTCTTGGGACTTTAAAATAATCAACTAAGTGAAAATGGAATGAAATTTAATACTTTCTTAAGTTCTTTTTCCTTTATCGCTGGCTTAGGAGTTCCTATGGAGATTTGTAGTCACCGAATTAGTGCCATCTCAGAACTAGAATTATGACTCGTTCTTGGTGTATTATTAGAAAAGAATCAGGTGTATGCAATGATATGCTTCATATTTAAAGCATTATGAAAAACTAGAAGCAACTTAGAGGAATAAAATAACCTAATACAACATCTGAAAAAAAATGGGACATTATTTAAGGCACTACCTAATTAGTGTACCACAATTTTAGACCTTAAAATATCATCATAATTCAAATTTTCAGGACAATTTAAATAAGCAAAGGATTCTCTCCAATACAACGAGCAAGGATATAGCAGTATGACATTGCAAATATGCAGTAGTTGACACTGTTACATGCAGATTTACATAATCTGTGATTCGAATAGGAAGGGAAAAAAGACACACACACACAGAAGATGGAGAGCAGAGAGGAGAAAAAATAAAATTATATATATATATATAAACTAGTTTCAGAGAAATGAGGATTCACAACAGTTGTTTTGTAATTGAAGTATTGACAACCCAGAAACAAATAAAAGAGATGAGAGCCTAAACAAAATTGTTCTATTATGTTATTCAAAAGGGAAAAGAATAATTCAAAAACAAAAAATAATAGAAATTTTTTTTTTAATTTTTTTTTTTTTTGAATAATAGAAAAAAAATACTAGGAAAAAAATAAATAATAGAAAAATAATAATTTCATACCAAAAAAAAAAAAAAAATGGAAAAGATGTACACAATTGTTTTGTAATTAAAGAAGGATTGCGGAAAAAATGATGAGAAATAATTCAAAAGTGATAATTAAAAATACATAAGTAGGAAGAATAATATAATTCAATTCAATTGAAAAATTAATTAAACACACATCCACATGTAAAACACAAGTTATATCTTCATATATACTCCTTATGTCTCAAAACAAATGCCCTTTGGATGTAAAACACACATCCAAATGAGTCCGCAGTTCCCGAAACAATTTTTATTTTTATTTTTTGAGATACATTTTAATGTCTATTTGCATATAAGGAAAAGAAGAACCGGCGAGAGTACCTGCGTGGGCTTCGTTCTGGCTTCGATCGGTTAGGGCCTTGCCTAGACAGAGAAAGAAAACTAGGGTTTGAAGATGGGAAGGCACAGAAAGGAAGAAGCGGCGATGAAGATATATAGAAAATGGGTTTTTAAGCGATGAAACGGAAAGAAAAGAAGCTAGGTGGTGGAGACTGGAGAGAGAGAGAGAGAGAGAGTGAGAGTGTGACGTGTCGTCGTCTGGTAAAGCCATTTGATGAAACTGACATGCAAGACCACGTCACGTGTTAACATATTATAGGCTCAAATTCCACATGGGACACACTTCACCCGCACCTATTATATGGGCTAACCCGAATAGGAGGCCGAATGGCCCGAATCACAAATTTATCTTCTTTTAAATGTTATCTTCTTTTCTTTCTTTCTTTTTTTTCTAGGTAAGAAAAACTATTTAATATTTTTTTTAAAAAATTTATCGTTCATGCTATTAACCTTATAAAAGAATTTTTTGAGTCAATTTTTACTTTTTGATCTAAATTTCTACCTGAATTTTGTTAATTGGATTTAATTATTTTTAAAATTAATAAAATATAATAATAACTTTTATAATACCAAAAAAACTACAAAAAAAAATTAAAATGTCTAAAAAATAACAATACTTAAATAATCTATATCTATCTATATCTATATCTATGTATCTATATCTATATCTATCTATATACTATTCTAAAACTGTGAGGAATTTCTTAACATTTTTTATATTTTTTATTTTCATAAAATGTCTCATTAACTATCTACCTACTATTTCATAAAATGTCTCATTAACTATCTACATACTATCTCTATCTACATACTATTTTAATGAAAAAACGTGTACATTATCTATATATCTATATCTATATCTATACTATTCTAAAAATGTAAGGAATTTTTTAGCATTTTTTATATATATATTTTTCATAAAATGTCTCATTAACTATCTACCTACTATTTCATAAAATGCCTCATTAACTATTTACATACTATCTCTATTTACATATCTATATCTATATCTATCTATCTATACTATTCTAAAAATGTAAGAAATTTCTTAACATTTTTTATATTTTTTATTTTCATAAAATGTTTCATTAACCATCTACCTACTATTTCATAAAATGTCTCATTAACTATTTACATACTATCTCTATCTACATACTATTTTAGAATAGTATATATATATATATATATATATATATAATGTACATATATATCTATACTATTCTAAAAATGTAAGAAATTTCTCAACATTTTTTATATTTTTTATTTTCATAAAATGTTTCATTAACCATCTACCTACTATTTCATAAAATGTCTCATTAACTATTTACATACTATCTCTATCTATATACTATTTTAGAATTTATAGATATAGATATATAGATAATGTACATATACATATATTCTAAAAGTGTAGAGAACTTCTTAATAATTTTGATTTATTTTTTTAGTGTATATACATTTAAACCACTTTAATAACACTTTAATGGGAATTTCTTAACAATTTTGAATTTTTTTTAGTGTATATACATTTAAACCACCTTAATAGCACTTTAATGTCATAAAAAATATTATTCTAAGAGTGATTCAGAATTCATACATAATTTATTATTATAAATAAAAAACAAGAAAAAATAAAAATAAAACAAACGCACAGGCACACATATATGTATTATTAATAGTATAGATAAGAATATATAAATGTATATGTGAGATTATATTAATGGAAAAAAAAAAATATTCATAACGAAAAATTCATTATTCAGTTTCAAATTTTATTAAAATTGTAATATTTTTATTTTGATACTTGAAATCTCCAACCAATGTATTTCATAACTCTTTTTTTTTTTTTCATTTTACATTAAATCCAATTTAATTAAAAAGTATTAGTGGACATTAATTACTTGAATTTCATTTCATTTTTTTAATGGTTGATAACCTTTAGGAATTTCAACCTAAAAAATGTCATTAAAAGTTGACTACAGAACGTGTATAACCCTTGGAATTTTCAACCTTAAATTTCATTAAAATCTATATCTATATAGATATATATATATATACACACACACTATTATAAAAGTGTAAGGTAGATTTTTAAAAAATACAAAATAATTTTTATTAAATACTTTACATTAAATCTTTTAATCATTCAAGAGTTATGTCATTTGCCCCATCCAGCATTAACGCTACTTATATAGAAGTGTACTCATTTTTTTTCTTTTCTATATTATAAAAGTGTAAGGTAGATTTTTAAAAAATACAAAATAATTTTTATTAAATAGTTTACATTAAATCTTTAATCATTCAAGAGTTATGTCATTTGAGTTGCCCCATCCAGCATTAATACTACTTATATAGAAGTGTAAGCATTTTTTTTCAACAATTATTTAGATACATTTTCATTAATTATAAGTTATTTGATATGAATTAAAACAAAAAAAGTAATAGCTTTAAAAGCTAAGTTACCTATATTCATTTTTTCCTAAATCACAAGTCTTTTCCATTGTTTGTTTGGTACAACTTTTATTATTTCTATACATTTTTATTAATTTAAAATTATTTTATATTTATTAAAATCAAGAGTTAATACATTTAAAAGTTAAATTACCTTTATTAAATTTCTTCTTAATATATATCTTACCTTAATTTTATTATAAAAGTGTAAGCCATTTGTTGAATTTCTTAACATTTTTACATTTTTGCTAAATTACCTTTATTATTTTTTTCCTAATCATAAGTCTTTTCCTTTTCTCAACACGCATTGTTTGTTTGGCACAGCTTTGATTATTTCTCTACATTTTTATTGATTTTAAATTATTTTATATTTATTAAAATCAAGAGTTTATACATTTTAAAGTTAAATTACCTTTATCTTAATTTTTATCCTAAAAGTGTAAGCCATTTTGTGAATTTCTTTATATTTTTACATTTTTTTGATATAAAAAAAATCTTGTATTTATTTCAAGAGTTGCCTGACTTTCCATCTCTCTATTTAATTTTTATAAATTGCCTTACACTTAAACACGAATATCTCTCTCTCTCTCTCTCTCTCTCTCTCTCTCTCTATATATATATATATATATATATATATATATATAAAACATTTATACATTTTTATTTATTTCAAATAAAAAAATATCTTGTATTTATTTCAAGAGTTACAACTCTTGACTTTCCATCTTTCTATTTAATTTTAATAAATTGTGTTACACATACATGCACAATAATATCTTTGCTCTCATTTTCTGTTTGAATTTCTCACTTACAGAATCATTATTTTTTTTCTATTCTTACTTTTGAAAAGAAGACGATACTGCTTGTGAAAGTCCTGGGTGTGAGAACAACTTTGTTCTGACAATGAAACCGTAAGCTTACTTCCACCAATTTCTTTTTATTTTTCTTCTCTATTATGTAGATATCCAAGTATGCATGTCTATGTTATCTTTGTGTGTGTGTGTGTATATAGGGCGCACTAATACGACACAAGATATTCTATGAAGATATTATTGTCAACTTTGTTCTAGTAAGAAAACGGTAAGCTTACTTTCACCAATTTCTTTTATTTTTCTTCTACAATATAGATATCTATGTTGCGTGCAAAAAATTTTATGAAGTAAAGATCACAAGGGTAGGTATATACATGTACATATACTGAATTTTTGTACAAAATTTGTTAATTTGGAATTTACGTGTTTTGGAATAAGAGGTTTTTTAATTGATTTTGTAGATGCAAGCATGTGACAACCCTGAATTTTTCAAACGAGTGTGTCTTATGATCCGAAACAGATCCAAAATGCGAAAGTAAAAGATAAAACCAAGGTCTTTAGAGATATAAATCATCCCTAAGACACCAATGCGACCTTCCATGAAATCAAGGAACTCAGATAATTAATCGGAAACAGAAGCTAGAATGAAAAGGTCAAATGGTACCCTATGGCACCAATGACACATAAGAAGGCATGATCTAGTTCAAACTAGACCACGTACACCATTAATGGCTCAAACAAGATAAACGAAGTCGAGTGGAAACAAACCAATTGGTAAAAGCTTAAAGAGGCAGCAACCAATCAAAAACCTACAAGGCAGCTCCATTTTAGTCGGTCGAAATGGAGCTTCGGTCGGCCGAAGTAAGCCAAGAAAAGCTAAGAAATGAGCCTTCATTTCGGTCGGCCGAAATGACAAAATGGTCGATCGGTTGTGGCTCAAAATAAAAGTTAACTACTGGAATTGACAAAACACTGTTCAATTTAAATTGAACAAGGAACCGGTCGGCCAAAACAAGCCACCGGTTGACCGAAACAGGTTGAATTTCTGTAGAAAGTTCTGCAAAACCCAAAAGAAAAAATGCAAAAGGCTTCTTAAGCCTTACTTGAATCCGGCCCCCATGGCATGATCAACTTGATTTATATGCTAATGAAAAACGATGTGAACATGCACGCGAGTGTAATATGATATTTTAAATACGCTACCATGGCCTACGGCTTTTTTAAGATTCATGAACAAGATTTTACATGTCAAACCTCCAAGGTTAGAAAAATTACATTTTAAAGGTAAAACTTGAAATTTAAATGCATGCACATGAACTTTAAAGTTTGTGGCCCTTGGCCTCGTGTCATACATATCAAATGAGTACTAAAAAGAATGCTTAGGCACTTATTACATATCCGAAATTGAAAATGACATTATAAACCAAATATTACATTACAATTTCTTAAGAGAAGCTAAACATGCTAACACTTGCATGCTAACAAAACAAAAATACATTAAAAGTGCTTCAATTTAACGAAAAGACCTAGGAATATTGTGCATCTCAAAACCACTTCTTCTTACCTGAAACAGGTTGCATTCAGCAAGGGGTGAGTAACCTATATTACTTGTAGGGAATGAGCATGCATAGACCTAACTTTTTACAAGGTTATCATATTAACATGAAACAATTCAAAAAGGTCATGCCACCTAACATCTATATTCTAAATGAGTCTAAGCGATCATCTCAAGCTACACTAGCAATTGAAATGAATGACAACACACAAATATACATATTCAAGTATACAAAACAACATTGAACACCATGCATGACATATAAACATACACTTACAAATATACTAAACCACATTAAAACAAGATATGTAATATCTAAGCATACATAC